TCATTTTATCGCATTCCTACCGCAATTATGGAGGTTCCAATTTTAAGAGAAAGCCATCAGCTTTAGCAACATTTTTGTAAAGAAAAATTGTAGCTTTCAATCGCGGCGAGTATCCTGTAAACTAGTCTTGTGGATACTAGGTTTCATGAGGTCATTATTCTATGGAGGTAAAATGTAAATGAGACCAACGCGGCAGACTTAGACCGAGTGACGAGGATCGTTGAATGTGAGGAGTATAAAAAATTCACTGCTCATAATCGATCAAGAAACGTTTGTAAACGCGAATCAATCGATTTTCTCGCTCGTCCTCTTGCACGGCGAGAAAAACAACCGCGCAAATCGGCGATTAAAAAATAATGATATAAATCATCAGGTTGATAACCCCAGGAGAAGTCAGACTGAGAGACGGAATTGATGGGTCAAGGCTGTTCCCATATCTCTAATCTACCCATCAGTGCATCTCATTCTCTCACGATGATAGTGAGGTTTTTTCTTTTCTTAATACGAGTTTCTGCTTTTTATCGAATGTCATTATTGTCTCCTCTTAGTTCTCCTTCCACAAGAAGTTTAATCTAAGGCAGTTTTTGGTCATTTCTTTTGGGGGATGGCCAAAACTGTTAGATGAGCACTCGTCCAAATTCAGAAACTTGCATTCTTATTCGCTTTAACTTAACAAATTATCTGAACAGAAGCTACTTTGTAATTTTGATGTGTAGCAGTTCATTCGACTAAATGATCAGACGTTATAATTTTACCAATACCTAATTCTAAAAAAAATATGTTTCCGTGAATGTCAGATTGTTGAAAATATGCCCGATTGACAAGTCTAGACATAGCCCTCCTGTCTTAACCATGCATTACATATCGCATTTCGATGTCTAATCGGGCTTCTTTAAATTTTCAATAATCGGACCTGCTGTACCTCACTGAAATTCGTCACTGAAGCTGAACTATTAAACAAGTTAAAATTGGAATGAAATTGTCGGCCTAAAATACTCGTAAATTAATGAACAAATTAAAAAAAATGTAAAAACACTCTCATTAACATTATTCTGATTTTTTTTTTCTGATCATTTTTTAACTATTTCTGATTTAATATTTTAGATTATATCTTTAGAAATTGAAATTTAAGGGAAAATATGATTGTTTTCAATGAAATTGCAATATAATTCTTTCCGAGATCTTCACAGATGAAAGTAAATATTCTAATAAACAAAAAAGGGATTATCATTATGAATTATTTGCCATCGCCCCAATGTTATCGCTTTGAGTCGGAATTACAATATAACACCATATGTTGTGTCGTGGACTGCTCGTAAGTATCGTCTCTCTTACGATACGGAACTCGTGCCTCGAGCGCGTATTATTTCTTTTCAGTAGCCCGGCGCGCTGCGGTTTAAAACGCCTGCATTTCGCTCAGTATGCAACATCGCCTTACCTAAGTGATTGTTTAGTTGCTTGCTGCACGGCATTTTTTCGTTTTTCGCGTTTGGCCGGTTTACTGTGAGCATCTTCATTGCTCGTATACGCAAGTTCTTTATTTATCGAAAATCGTGCCGTATGCCCGCGTAAACTTCGAAAGCTTCCCTTTATTGCTCGCTCAAATCTGGAAAATGCTTAACCCAAGAATACTTCTGCATTTAGTAAAAAAATGCATATTGTCTCCGCATTGTGAATTCAGCTTGAATCTGCGGAGTGGTTTCTCGTTTTACTGCTGTTCGCTATTACTTATTAAGACATTTATTATTATGTATGTGGATATGAGTACATTAATAAGAAGTCATATGTTGTGTCTACAAAAGTGACCTACATTGAAATCTGGGGGCAGTGTGGCGTTTTGTTTGCGATGCATCTTTTTCGCAATTTGCCAAACGGGTCCCACTGTAAGAACGCAAATAAACTTCCGAAACCGTGGGTCCAAAGATCATCGATACACAGGTTGTATACAAACGAGCATGGCTGTTCATTTGCGCATCTGAAAAACTCAGAGAGCACTATTGAACAGCTATTGAATCTCTTAGAATGTGCTTTTCAGGGAAACTTATGAATATTTTTCTTCCAATTCTTCAGGATATTTTATTCGCAACTCACTCTAGAATATCCAAAATTTTCAGGAAAAATATGCGTAACCCTTCTCAAAAATACATTTTTATCCGGAGGAATTTGGCAACTCTCGAATGTTAGTGCGGCGTTTCTCCTTAGCACGGCAGAATAGTTGTGTCCGCGCAAGTTGCAGTCCGACATTCTTTATGGTCGCGGCGCATTGCGCGGGATGCAGATTCGGGTCACCATCTAGCGTCTGGTGAGGCCTATTCTGCGAAAAGCTCACGAATCATCGTAAAAGCATGCCACTAGATGTCACGTAGTTTCAAAAGTAAACAAAGATCTCTTTGTCTGCCGGTTGGGCACAACTCAAGTCCTCATTACTTGCTTGGTATGGTGGCTCTAGAAAGAAAATGTGCTTCGTCAGTCTGCGTTTTGAAAGTCAGAACTCCAAAAAATTTTAATGCTGTTTTAAATTCTCCGAAAGAATGAATGTGGTAGATAAATAGGTTTTGAGAATGTAAGCCAACGGCTGGAAAATGTGAGTGCGAATCAGCATAACGACAGAAAGTATATCATCAATCTGTTTCAATTTTTAGGGTGTTGCAGTTTACCCTGGTAAAAATTGGCGATAGGAGCAGCGTTTCAAAATACCATAGGAGTTCTTATAGCCGACTAAAGAAGGCTGTAGAAAATCATATAGCTGGCTGTAGAAAGCGGAGCAAATCATATAGCCGGGCTATACGAAGCTTTAAAAAAGTATACAGTCGGGCTATAGTTTCTATCGCCGGGCTTTACACTTTATCGCCATTGGCTATAAAAGGCTATAAGAAATTGTCTAGAAATTCGTGCGCTCTGGAAGTCATTAAGTTTTTTACGGAACTACCTTAATGTTTACAAAACACACATTATATTTTCCCTTAAAACACATTTTTTTTTTCATAAATTAAAATGAGAATAATCCATACAGAGTGTGCAAACATTTCAGAATCATGAGCTGAAAAACGCTGACTCCGCGAGATTAAATATTAGAGCCTAACAAAAAGCGGAGCGGCGACGCACTGGCGCCTACAAACCTAACAGGGATACTTCACGCATTGCGCAATGCGTGAAGTATCACTGTTAGGTTTGTAGGCGCCAATGCGCGTTTCGCGTTCTCTGCCCGCCCGCCGCGCGCCGCGCCACAGCGTGCCACGGCGTCTGAAGCAACTATTTCACACCAGAGATATTGCACAGTATCATAAGAAATTGAAAGTGCTCCAACATATTAAGAATGACAGGCATCCTTCAAAAGTACGGAGCTTTCCTCGCAAAATATATCAAGATACTACGGCACAAAAAGAGAGCGGTAGTCCAAAAACTAACTAAGTCCTAGTATCCGTATTTTGTAACGTTTAGCATAAACTTTATCGTCTGGCTGTTGCTTAATCGCCATCGGCTGTAAAAAGCTATAAGAAATTGTACAGCCGGCTACAGAAGCTATTGGAAATCTTACAGCCGGCTTTAGGGCTATGGTATTTTGGAACACACATTCTACTGTCAATTTTTACCAGGGTAATGATTATGAGATCGAGGAATAAGGTCCTTGCGAATGTTCCACACTGCCTAGAACAATCTTCTAAATCATTATGATCACGAATTTTTAAAGCTTTGAGCGAGAACTTAAAATTAGTTGAGCTTTTAATTAAATCACACCCAGGATCTCTGATAACGGAAATGGAAGTAGACTTGAAGACTTCCCGCAGTTTTGTGCGGCATATCGGTCCTAGGTCAAAAGCAACAACTTTTGGGACCTCCCAAAATTTTAGGGGAGCCACACTAAAAAGGGACAAAAATCTTTAGAGGCTACACGTGTGGTTCGGGACTTTGGAATCACCCTGTATAGGTACTGTAATGATTTTAAACCTGCCTGTTATCACTGATAGGGCGATTCGCGCCGTCCACTTTTTGGCTACGGACAGCCTTTAAAACCACCGCGTTTGATAGCACGTATCTGCCGCGCGGCAAATTTTACGCCGCGCCGATTGTGTTTTGTGGAACCGTAGCTTAAAGCATCGAGTGCGCAATTTAATATAACTCAGCTCGTGTTTTGCACACCGGTTTCGGACTTTGATCTTTCGTCGCGTCAGTGAAGAGTTCGAAATTCTGTAACCGACGAAGTACGAAGGCGCACACCGTAAAGCGTTTTCGCGGAGGTAAACACACGACAATGAAAACGCGTGTTGTTCTGTACCATCATATCAGTTCTTCCTTCTGGAGTGTCCTATTGATGATTTCAACTCCTCTTACAACTTTTCTATAACGTCAGTGCCGTGCAAACAGTGAAACTCCGTAAGAAAATGTCCTATTCCAGAAACCTGCTCGGACGAATTAGTTTTTTTTACCCCCTCTCAACTGAAAGTTTTTCTTTGCTTCCTTTATAGTGACGCAAAGGCTTGTTTTTTTTTTTTCATTTTAGCTTGGGCGTTATTAGTATAGTTAAGCTCTTTCAGAAAACTGTTGATTCTAATTTCCTCACTTTAGGGTGTTTGACAATGAGTGATTTTTACACTGAATGAATAGCTCAAGGAAGAGTACCTCCTGCTCAAGATAAACATAGAATTAGAAAGATAACTTTCTTTTACCCGTTCTCTTCAGAAGAATGACTGGACCGTGTTTAGCAGAAAGGAGCCAAGCTACATCGGTCATTGCCAAATTTAACCGGACAATTCAATTTTTTACAAGAGAACTTAAGTGCGGATTCCTTTGAAATTTTTAAGGAATTTGCTTCGTACTATGCAGAAAATCATTAAAATTTTCACAAAAATCCCCTTAACCGTTTGCATGTAAAACTGTAAATCGCCCGATTAAATTTGGCAATAGCTCATGTGGCTTGGTTCCTTTCTGCTAAGCGCAGTCCGATTGAGGATTGTAAAGTGTACAGCAGCATGTTAATCGTGTCGGTTTTTTTGTTTCAGGGTAAAACAACATGTTGCAACAAATACTGAAAGACATGTACGTGGACCCTGACTTGCTGGCCGAGCTAGATGAGGAACAACGGCACACCCTCTGGTGTCGCATGCGGGAAGAGCAAGTGCGACGCTGGAAAATATGGGACCAACAGCACCCACCCATCCCACCGCGCCCTCCCAGTAAGTATACACCCTACTATTTTCTCTCGAAATCAAGTCCCTATCTCATACCAGACTGGGTACTTCGGAGCTCTCCAACTATAATATTTTGGGCAACGCTCAAGATAATCACCGTAAGGCTCTTGATATCGCACAAAAAAATGTCTAAGGGTGCGTTGTCGCGATGTAAACTGCACAATGGAGAATTTGCACGCAATTTTTTTATTGCTTCATCTGAAAGTGCCTAATGAGCTGAGTTCGCAATATTTTTCATAATTTTTTTCTGACATGGGAAATTGGAGAAAAATTGATTTAAAAGTGAGAAAATGCGCCGCCTTGTGACGTCATCTGGCGGCATTTCCCATTTAAACACATGTATTTTAGCAGAATCGGTTATTTTGTCATATCTCCTCTAATAATCGCTCAATTTATGAATCAAGGGTATCTTCGTGTTCAGTTCACTCAGAGGATTCCACTTAAACAGGAAATTCATCAAATTTCAGACCCTTGCAAATTCTCCATTGTGCTTTTGATGATGTTTATGGGCACAAACAAACAACAAATTATTTCAGAGATGCACCAAACGCCTCTTGAACACGCTATATTTCCTTCATCACCAAATAGAGGCCTTCCAGAGCTGTTGCCATGATGTAAATAGGTAAGAAAGCTGTCTCTCTCATTTCACAGCCCCTCCACATACCTGCAGGGCGATCCAGACCATCTGCGCTATGGTTTTTGCAGTTATTTAAGGTCGTACAAAGTCGGGGACCGTAAGAACGAATCGGGAATTGACCCCAACAAATCTGACTCTCATCGCCCTGAAGCACCCGCGTGTTCCTTCCGGTTGTAAATGGGGGTTCTGATTTCAAAATGCAATTAGGTTCCCGGCAAACTTTGGAAATAATTCTATCAAAATCAGAAAAGGCAGAACATTTCAATCTCTATTCAAACCAAAAAGTCCGACGTCGCGGCCGATTCCTGTCCGAAATACTGACCCGTAAAGGCCGGTAAGGGCGACAGACAAGGTTGCCAGGTTGTGCGAGAAATATGAATATTTTACATGGGTTCAAATTGGGGAAAAGTGCTGTTTTTTAGCACTTTTTGCCAGAAATAGAGACAGAGCCCCCTCCCCCCCTTCATAAAGCACTAGACCGCTAATTTGACGTAGGGGCCTGGAAGAACGATTTGTTCCGGGTAATCGCCCCCTAAGAAGCAGCATTGGATGGACTTGAAGTCTTTCAGGGCCTCACCGACCGATTGTGAGCATAAGGGTCACTCCTGTACCTACCTTATGTAGGTATGAAGCCGTGGGGTTGGAGGACTACGGAACGGCACTATCAAATTCAGATTCTTTGGAGCCGATTACTCTGGAAAACGTCTTTTTTCCAAGCCTTCACGTCAATTTCAGGATTTGGTATTAGATGGAGGAGGGTTTCGCTCGCCATTTTTTAAGGGGTAAGTATTTTAGACAACGGTAGGCCAATTTTGGACTTATTGCAAATAATTCAGGTTCAAATTTTCAGCTCATTTTGATGGAATAATTTCAAAATAATGGTGGGAACCTCATCTTTTAAAATTATAATCTCCCTTTTACCGCCCAAAGGGAGCTGAGGGGATTTGCTTCAAGACGATGAAATTTAGATGCCTTGGGAGCGATTCAATTTTCGTTCTTGCAGCCCTCGACTTCCGCCTACATGAAATAACGGAGAACAAAACCTGATACGGGTATTCTGCATCTCCCTGTAGTACGTCCAAACTGAGGTAGTGTTGCTTATCCAAGTGAAAATTTCTATGAAGTCATAAATGCCCAATAAAACAATTTTCAACCGACCATTTTCAATCCGTCACAATTTGTTTTGTCTCAAGTATCTCAACGAATAGAAAAGAAGGAAAATAATGAATCCATTCCCTCTCAACTAATATCAAGTTAGCTCCAACTGATTTCAAATCTGTTCAATCTTCTTTTTATCATTTTTGCATCTTGAATTGACAGAATAGATGTGCAACTTGCAGCGCACTGATAAATTGATGTATTGCAACTTTATGGCCCTTTTTTAACTCAAGATTTATCATTTCAATTCTTATAATTTGTCGTCCAATTTGTTATAGATCCAGGAAAGAAAAAAGTACAGTGGCGCACTGGCAATGATGGTAACGAATGGGTATGGGTCATGGGCGAACACCCTGATGACAAGAGCATAGAGGAGATTCTAGAGGAAGAAGCAAGAGAAGCCGCCAGAAAACTTGCAGTCAAAGAAACGGAACAACTCAGGTTCTTATTTTTATTTGAATTTTTTAAAAAAGAATTAAGGATTGGCCTTGTACCTTCTTAATACCATTGGGTCACTCTCTTGAATATTCCAAGATTGGCTCATTCAGGCCTGCCTGAAAATTTTGCGCAGATCATGTGAGAATGATATTGCACCTTTGAGAGGTTACCAATGACCATTAGTCCTCAACTCCTGCCTAAAATCCTTTCCCTCTACTTCAAAGCACCCTTGTAGCTGTAGTCATAAGGTGTAGTAGATAGGTAAAGTGATTTTGTGGGTATCATTACAAGTCAGAGTGTCAATATTCTGGCCTGCAAACCTTTAAAAACTCTTATTAGAATTCTTCTTAGCAGCAAAATTATGTTTTAATCCATGCAGAGAATATCAAAGTTATATTGGAGTCTCATAATTTCAACTCTTATCCTGTTTTTGTCCCCTCTAAGTCTCAACATGAGCAATCGTTTGTTTTGAAAGGCAAGCCTAAGCTGGCAACTAATACAATTGGTCTCGTTTTCTTTATTTTTTGTATTTCTTGAAAAAAAAAAAAATCATGAATAACATGACTTCCCTCTGATTAAGATTGACGACTGCCTGTACAATATGTAAGCTTATTCCATTTGTGGGAGGCTTCATTCTCACTTGCATAATTGCATAATTAACATTTTTCCATCGGTAAACTTACGCGATGAGGAAGAAAGAGGAAATAATGCACGTAAAACTGTCTTTCAAAATTTTTAAGGAGCGCATATCTGTATTTGTTCTAATAAATGCACAATGACAATTTTTATTTTGTCAAAGCAATTGCCAAAACATGGTATGTTCTGAATTAATTTGTATCTACTTTTGGAAATTCAATGTTTCCTTTGCTTTTTTCTCATATATCTACCTCAAAGTTAGTTGAATACATTAGAAGAGCAATTTTTTTTTTTTTTTTTTTTTTCAAGTAATTGTAAAGCCCTTTTATGCTGATTTTAATTGTTTTTTTGTTTTTTTACAGATTATCAGTTGACATGGAGATAAAAGATTTGAACGAGGACTTCAAGAAAAACTTATTAGAGTCAAAACCTAAGGAAAGCTCACACGGCAAATTAGATGATATTTTCTGTGCTGCAGTTCAAGGCGGAGACAATCCAAAAAAATTGATCATCCCCATGCAAGTCTCAGAAAAAAGAGACGTCCTTCAAGAGCTATCTCTCAATAAAGTGAGTGCCTAGTTTTGCTCCGTTTTCTTCGCCTAATATCAACTATTTTTTATGGTAAAACTGCAGAATTGAGTATCTCAGATTTTGGCACTCAAAACTTCCTGTTGTACCTACTTTATTTTCTACATGGGAAACTACTAAATGCCATTTCTTGAAAACTTCGGTGATTTCTCTCTTCTCTCCTGAAAGAATACTCTGTAAAAATTTCATACCATGGTGTTTTTGAAACGGTGCAACAGAGGTATGCATTTTTTCAGTTTCGCCGTCAATATGTGAGGGCAAAGGGTAATATCAGTAGAAAAATACCTTCCCTCTGCAAAATGAACAGAAATTAACCATCTTTAATGGTCTATGATGTAAAATCTGTGGCAGGATATTATCAGTCCAATAAGACAAACTAGAGCAAACTTGAAAGAGGAGCAGACAGCCTGAGTAAGCTTCCGTTGGGTCCCGAAAACTGAGCACTGTCAGAGAATTCCATCAAGTCTGGGAGTTTGACCAAAAAGACTCAAAATTTTGTCTATGAGTGCTTCGAGTCTTTTTTTATCAATACATGTTCACATTTGTCTAGTGCCTTTTGAATTTTTACTTTGTTCTCAATGAAAAATGAATTTTTTCATTACATATTAACCTCCATTTAAGAATGCCTCTTGTGGTTGTTGGAGCACTAAGAGGTCAGTCGCACATTACCTAACAATGGAACTGTATTTTTTGTTTAAACATTGACATTGTCGCTTACTCTTAAAGTGAACCTCAATTTTGTTTAAGCCTCAATGGTCTAAGGTATACACTGAATATTGAACAGAGGAATACCTAAGTGACAATGAAGTACCTATTGAAATTTTAGTTTAGTGCGTTATTGTATTGAAATGAGAAAGGTCCATATGTTTCTGCCTTCAGCAGTGAAAGTAGGTAACGCCAAAAAATTGTCTGTTTCCAGTTCTGCGCGTGCGAATTGTAGATGTAAAAAATTAGGGAATTTTGATCATTCTGGTCTGGGAGAAACACAAAATGTCTAGGAATTTTTTTCCTCCGAATCTGTAGACACTGTGTTTAGGAAATCACAAGGTGTGAAGCATCCTTGGCGCCTCTGCAGATCTAAAGTTATTTGGCAGTTTTAAATTTCTCTTCAAGAAATTCAATTCTTGATATTCAACAAAAAAAGCATCACTATAAAGTTTGTATTTAATATTATCCTAAGTCCAAAATCCAGCTTTAGCTTACTTTCACTGGGAGAAAAAAGAAAGCGAAAATATTTATTATCACTTGCCAATGTGCAAGTGTTGCACAAGTTTAATTGAGACCTGTGGTGAATTAAGTGAGTCTGGTGAGTTGTAATACTTTCTAACATTCAGGTTTTTCAAGGATAACAAGTTACAATTTTAAAAAGTACCTTGAGTCTTCTTACTAAAATTTGAACTGTCCCTTGTAAGTTAAAATCGAGATTTCAAATCTATTCATCCTGTTGAATTACATCATGTCAAGTTTTCTTCAAAATCCTTCTTCAGGTTAATGTCCCGCATTCATTAAAAGCTTGATTTGTTTCAAAACTTTTCACAAATTCTACTCAACACGCAAAGAAATTAAATGTTGATTTAGCATTTATACTGTTAAAAAGATGTCCGACAAGTTTCAAATGCTGATTTTACATTTTAACAAATGCTAACATAACTACGCCCACCGCAAAACGTACAAATTAAAATGTTATGTTAGCATTTTTGTATTGTAAAATCAGCATTTAAAACTTGTCGGACATCTTTTTAACAATATAAATGCTAAATCAACATTTAATTTTTTTCTGTGAAATTCTCCAAGAACTTTTCTAGCTCTTCACAGTTTTTAAATTTTATTTATGTATAAAATTGAATTGATTTTTTTCTAAATATTATCAATCTCCTGATCTTTTAACACTTAGTTTTTAAGTTTAAAAGTATTTATTATCATCCTCTTTGCCTTGTTCCAGGCCCAGAATGTCTCTGAGCGTGTGAAGCTGTGGGAACAAAAAGTGATGGATGAACGAACCTCTGTGATATTTAAAAATCTTCAACGCAAGAAACAGGAAGCAGTTCGAGAGGCTGAAGAAGCCTCCCAAAAACAAGAAAAAGTATGGAGAGAGCAAGGTGTGTATTCGTGCTAGCTCAGGAGACCTCATTCTAACTTTCTCTGCAAAAAATTGATCAACATAAATTGTAGGGATTTGTTTGTAAAAACACAATTCCAAGGTGTTATGAAATGTGTTAATCAACTCAGCGCCGAAGCTTTTCAACCTTTATGGTCATTATTAAGGCAATTAAAAGTAAACTACATCAAGCAATTGGACAATGCAAAGACAAAAAGCAAGAGATTAGGAAGCATACTATAATTTGAAAGGTCAAAGAACATTGTTAAAAATAGTAAAATAGCAAAATAGAAAGAAGTAATGTGCAGTCAAGTGATTGATAGCGAAAACCACTTCCACCTGTTTTCACCATCAATCAATGACTGCTTATGCAATGTTCTTTGACTTTTGAAATTCTAGTATGCCTCCTGATCTTTTGCTTTTTCAGGGTGTCTACAAGATTTTCAAAATGAAATTCCCTGACAATTCCAGGTTTTCCATGACAAAAAATGACAAAGTTCCCTGACTTTTTGGGTTTAGCCATATGATGAACTAGTTAGAAAATATAAAAAAATACTATCCTTAGGAACGACCCCGTAAAGTCATATTCTGAATTACCATGGCGTTGGAAGGAGTTGAGTAATACTTTTGAAAGGAACGAGATCCTAAATACTCAAAATAAAGCTAATTCCAAAATGGTATACTCAGACTAATATTCACCTTCAAAATTTAATTTTTAAGCTCTATTACGCTCTCTTTGTGACATATTGCCTCGTATACTTTTGAAAATTCAAACTATAGTTCACCCTGGTGGTTTCATAAATATTGGCATATTACTTAGTGTCCTGAAAAAACAAGTCTCTTTTTCTTAAAATATAAAACAAGAGTTGTAAATGTGCCTAACTCAGGTAGATTTTGCTATAATCAAGAGGAAATACGAGTCTCTTCTCGATTTTAGATAAATTTCCTTGATTCGGGTTTTTTTTTTTTTTTTAAGGTCAATTAATTCAGTGGATTCCAGAACCTATTGTTGGTATTGAATTTGTCTTATACTCAACAAGCGTTGGCTCATTAGAATATAATCCACCAATAATATTTCTACAAGGTGGATGCACCAGTTGTGAACATGATGATTTAAGAACCAGAAAAATTTCACGCAAAATGCAGTTGACATTAAATATTTCTTTACTCAGTTAAAGAAAAACTAAAATTCTAGCACTTTCATTAAATTTCCTAACTTATTGAAAAAACTGATTAACCATCTGCTCAAAACTTAGTTTCCTATCATTATTTACTGTAATTTTCTACTGTTAGCAAGTTAACTTCATTCAAATCTATTTAGTCTATCTTGCCATTTGGCATGAATTAAGTAGATAAATTAAATAGGGCAGATCGATTCGATCTTTAAAGTTAGCGAACACACATTACTGAACCTAGCGGCCGTGTTGCAAACTGGTTGAACAGAGTAGTTTACCTTATCAGCCACGGGAGCGCGCTACTCGGCCAATTCGGCAGTGACGAGCAAAAATAGCCTCGAAATGTTCGAATTGCAAAAATTCCCTGACTTTTCCCAGTTTTTCAGACAGTGATCAAATTCCCTGATTTTTCCCGGTTTTCCAGACCTGCAGACACCCTGTTTTTGTCTTTGCATTGTCCTATCGTTTGATGTAGATTACTTGTAAATGCCTTGATACTAATCGTAAAGGTTGAAAAGCTTTGGCTCTGAGTTAATAAACGCATTTCATAACATGGCATTTACAGCGACCCTGAAAAGTCAGTGAATTCAGAGGAAAAGTGAAGGAACTTTGCGACTAGTGCATTCGCTCAGCAACTACAGCCAGAGCCATTGCAGAGAGTGTAAACAATTTCCAAGTGCCTTTTTTACTTGTTTTGAATCTTTAAAAGTGGACATTTTGTCCAGAGTTGAGTAGAAGGCAGTGTAATTCAAAGAAAATAAATTTAAGTTGAAGTTTTGCTCAAAGATCTAAAAATTCGGAAATTTCGTTTCTAAGCCAAAGCGTAAAAAGTCAGAATAAGTTAGAAAATGAAGAAATTTTAAAAGTCCTGATTCCACCATCCCATCACAATGTAACTAATGTCTAATGTCTTTGGTAATGAAATGTGAAGAATTCTACAAAAATACTATTGCTCCAAAATTGAGCCAAAGTAGTAATGATAACCTACTGATAATTGGAAAGGAAATTATTCATTATTGATCAGTTGTGAGTACTTAATTGAACTCGGCTAAAGAGATGCTAAATTGCACCTTTCACTTTTCATACTAACTTTGTTTGTGATATCTGTACCAATCCATTGAATTCAATAGTTAAAGCAAGCAGCCAATTCTGCATCTTTTCACAGTTATTCAAATGTTTTATGATAGCTGTAATGGAGTAGTGTGACACTCATTATTCTCATCCCAAAAACAAGTCAATCTTTATTTTTTTTCCTTTTCTTCCTTTTTTTCCAGAGCAAAAAGCCAAAAAAGCTGAAACCCAGAAACGAGAAATTGCGAGGCGGGCTAGAGAAGAACACCGCAGATCTTCCATTATTGGAATTAACATAGACTTAAAAAGTGCAGAAAATAATACAATCCCCGCTGTGCAGCCTTTGCCAAGTCCATTTCTTGAAAGGTATGCATTAAATCCTGCCTTTTTGTTAACATTATTGCTCAGTGCGTGCGTAACAACAGATTTTTGAATCTAGGATTAGTCTGTGTGTGGATGGACCCTGCCATCCTGATCTTAAATAAGGCACACTACATGAATCGTTGTCAAACTTGCGCCAACCAACCCCAGAATTACAGACAAACCTGAATAAGTCAAAATGCATCAGGATCAAGAGTTAATTTCAACTTAGCAGGGTTTCTGTGTTAAGTATCCCCCCCTTTAATTCCGAACTGCAATTTTTTTCGCGTCTAAAATGCATCAGAATTACCTATTACTGCAATGGCATGTTTGCTGTTCATGACTGCTGCCGGCAAGCGTGAGTTAAAAGTACTCCACGATCAAAAATGACACAGACGTTTTGGAATTAATAAGCATTCCTAAAACTTTAGTGCCTCCTCAAGTTGTTCTTTACTGTGCTAAAACCAAGGCTTCAGTACAGTTATAGAGGAGAGTGTAGACCGTATGAAGTGTGGTTAAAACCTGTTACACAGTTACTCCTTTCTCAATTAAGCATAGAGTGGCAAAACAAATTTACGACAAAGGGTAGGGAAAATGGAGGCAAAACTTTGAAGAGTAAATTTACTAGTTACAGGAACTTTCTGAGAGATCTTTAAGTTTTGGCCAAAAACCGTACCATTTGGAGGGTTTTACGAGCTGGTTCTAATTTGTACAACTTTCCCTGCATTGGATAAATGGGTGAAGAAAGGGACCGGGCCATTTTTACAAGTTAGAGATACCTGCGATTCAGTGAGGTTTGACTGATCATGGAAAAGAGCAAAAATAATTTGTTACCACGGCTTTAATGCAAAAAATAGAAGTAATGAGCCAAGTGAGAAATGAATTTACAGAGCTTTCACAGCAAAAGTCCTCATCTCTTCCACCTTCTGAAACACTCTTTTTGATTGATGAGGGGGACAGGATTATTCTTCAACATGTTACAAAATGTAATAGAGCTCGTTTGGCATGCCTTATGTCTGAATTTCATGAATATCAATTTGACTAAATCATAAAACCTCTTCACCTCACTCAAAATCTACCGCCAACAGAAAAAATATAAAGAAAAATTCTGATCCGTCTCTAAAAGAGGCCAACAGACCTACATTTATTCTTTACTTTTTTCAATAGTCTAATATTTTTGCTAATTCTCTTTTTTTTTAGCCCATCTCCTTTAACTGTAGATACTCAACAATTTGACTTCAATGATCGAAAAACGCCAACCAAAGAGGCAATTATCCAATGGTACCAAACAAGCGAATTTCCTAGGGGAACCGGTCTTACAAGTGATCGAACCAGTGTTGCTCCCTGGTTTCATGGTTAGTAATGAATCATTTTTAAAATTTTGTTTAAAACATGCGTTTACAAAGCTGACTGTGCTTGAAGGATTTAAACCATCTATTTCTCAATCGAGGGAAGTATTGTTTCGGAAAAATCACATTTAATTGTGAGATCCAATACTTGAGATGATTTCAAAACATCAACGATGATATTATCAATTATGTTAAAAATATTCAGTGGCAAAATGTAAAATTCCAAAATAGAATATCACAAGAGGCCAGAAAGTCTTCACCAAGAGATTTCTTCTTCATTCTTATTTTTCAACTTCTTTTTTAAAAATATGCTTCTACAGGATTAATTCTTATTATTATACTTTGTAAATCACTATACTATACGTGGTCTGTCCGGAAAGTATCAGGACTTTTTGATTATCTCGGAATGTAATGCATATAATGAGCTGAAACTTGGGTTGGACTTTGCCAATGTCCATTCCAATGCAGCCACACAATCGGGCTTTCACACCTTTAATCATTCGATTGCAATCAACTGATCAAAGTGTGTGTGTCAAGTGCTATCGTCGCGTTTTTTATTTTTCGTGAAATGACCGAGCGTGAAGATCAGAGAATTTGTATTAAATTTTGCTTTAATCTAGAAAAAACTGCCAAGGAGAACATGGAAATGATTCGGAAAGCTTTTGGCACTGATTCTATGAGCAAGAGCAATATTTATGAGTGATATGCTCGCTTTAAATCGGGTCGTGAAACAGTCGCTAGTGATCCGCGGTCCGGGAGACCTCCGTCGACGAATTCTCCCGATAATGTGGAAAAAGTTCGGGAAACTATTGCCCAAGACAGTTGGTTAACCATGCGGGAACTGGAAAAGCAGCTAAATATCCCGAAGACCGTCGTTGCGGAAATTTTAACTGAAAAACTCGGGCTCCGTAGAGTGGCAGCGAAATTTGTGCCAACGCTCCGGCTCATTCCTCCTGTCTTGTGCAACAGTTTTTGGGCAAAGCTCGGTATTCCTCTGGTTCCACATCCTCCATACAGTCCAGATATAGCTCCTTGCGACTTCTGGCTGTTCTCAAAGATAAAATCTCCAATGAAAGGGACTCGATTTGACTCCATCAATGACCCAAAAGAGAATACGACGAGAGCGCTGAAGGACATCCCAAAGGAGTGCTTTTTGGACTGTTTTGAACAGCTCAAAAATCGCTGGAACAAGTGCATTGTGTCTTACGGAGAGTACTTCGAAGGAGATTAAAGCCACAATGTCATAGGTAAGCTCGATTTCTCAAAATCTAAAAAGTCCTGATACTTTCCGGACAGACCACGTACTCCATACCCAGGGTTTTTATAATGGAAACAATATTTTGTCTAAGGGCCCAAGGGCCGCAGTCCAAGTTTCCTGTTTCCGAGTTTCTTCAATCTCTTGAAGCCAAAAAATGCAAAACCTCAAAAAAGGTAAAAATATAAAAAACCCATACATTTAGGGCTCAAAAGATGGAACGCATGCTGAATGGCACAGTTTTTTCCGTTTCTCTGGAAACAAGGATTTTAGTGCTTGAGCCATTCAGAAAAATATCTGTTCAATTTTTGGGATCTTACAAAAGATTATAAGTAGCCGAAAAGAAAGGCCGATCAGCCGTTCTTTAAGACGTCAGTTTTGCTGGTTGCATGACTCGGTATAGATCGTCGCCACTTAATGGTCAGCAAAAATAACAAGAATTTGCCAAAATGTCGAATTCCTTTTGTCTAGTATCATATATTTTACCCTTCCAGAAACAAGATGACCTATATCATCCATTGCAGTAATATGTCACTGCGGATTCTTCCACCTTGATTTTTTCAGTGATGTACGCAAAATCAATTGCAAATATCTACAGTCCTAATCGATCAACCTAAGGTGGTGGGCCAAAGCGAAAAACAGTCATTTTTTGATACTTGGAGCCGCAACGTAATGATTTTAGAAGAGGCTCGACTGTTAAACCGTAGCAATTCACATATATTCAGAATTCTTTCTACAGGGAAGCAAAAATGGCTGCTTCAAACGCTCAAAATTTCAATATTCACCTTACTCCTTTCTTCATGCGTCAAAATGGTTGAAATTTTCCTCAAATAACGCAAAAGACTGCAACTCAATTCATGCTCTGTGGATTGTTGTTTAAATTTTTCAAACATTTTGATTTCCAATCATGCCGTGTTTAAGCGTGGCGGTAGGGATTGGGTAGAGAGTTGGAATTCTTTATGTGTGAGTATTATCACATTCAATGATCATTCTTTGTTACCATGGTCGAAAAAAAAAAATTCTACTATATCCTGTATGAACCACTGATATAACTAGAAAAATATTTGTTTTTACTTCAGAAAATCTCATGTGAATTACCTAATCATTGTCTCTTTTCTTACAGGTCTAATCACAAGACAAGAAGCCGAGTCATTGCTGAGTACGCGCCCAGTAGGTAGTTTTCTAGTTCGTTTATCCGAAAAGATTTGGGGATATGCAATCAGCTATCGAGCAGTAGACCGATACAAACATTATTTGATTGACGTTTCACCATCTCATTACCAGTTTTTTGGAGCTAATCAACTCAGTCACAACTCCTTATGTAAGCATAAAGCATATTTATCAATCATGTTCTTCTAATTCCACTAAATATTCTCGCTTACTTACAATATTTTTTTCTTTGGTGTACCCATGCCTTTTGAAGTGCACACAGTTGTTAATTGAGGCAATCCTTTTACCTCTTGCAATTAAGATATTGTCTGAAAAGAAATTTGATCGTAAGAGGAGTGACTTATTTATCAGCTTTAGCTTTAGCTATCCCACAATGGACCACTAGACAAGGTACGAATTTCAGCATTCTAATACATGTTTCGTAACTAAAATTTTACGTAGAACACGATGCGCACAACAAAAATTACCGCAATTAACTCCTTACGAAGATATTTGATGATTCTTGATGCGTGAATTCAAACCACCCGCTCATTAAAACTCAATGCTCTACATGATTCACATCGCGCGCTAAACGTTATTATGACAGTCTCTGCGATGTAAAAATCTGGCAACCTCAGTCTTGACGCTTTGCCTCAGCTGTAGCAAATTGCTTATATTTTGAACAACACATGGTGGAAAATGAACATTGCTCGATTGAGAGGCTTGCTGAAACCGTTGTAGTGCGCGATTTGACTTACGCAGAACTTTGAGTTTCTTGTGAGCGGGCAGTTCAAATTTCTCGTAACCAATGTGAAATAAAAACGTAAATATCTTTGTTAGGAGTTGGTTTCAGTAATTTCCGTTGTGTGAATCGTGTTCTACGTGAAATTCTGATTAAGAAACATGTATCAGATTGCTTAAATTCGTACCTTGTCTAGTGGTCCATTGAATCACCACACAGCATCTTGCTTTCTTTGGTACCCCAAAAAAGTTTAGGATTGGTTCTAAGTACGTATCAATTTGTAAATATGACAAGATTTGTTTTTTCTTCATCAGAGGAGGTCCTTTTCACAAGCACCACAAATAATCTTGAGAGTCTAAGGAAAAATTTATGATCGATCGGAGCTAGCAGCTCCTCAAGTTCCCCTCATACAGTTTTTTTACGTGCCAGTTTCCATCAGGAACCAACTATGGATACATCTCACTAATGAAACATGCATAGCATTAAAAGTTTAACTCTGAAAACACTAGTCCAAAAAAAATCTCAACTTTTCAAGCGATCAGAAAACCGTAGTATTTTTGCATTTGATCACATCTGTGTTGGTAACTTGGTGCCTATTTGGTCATGTTTCAATTTTTCAGGTTTTTTTTATTGTAAAAACGAGTAAACCCAACACCAAGGTTTTAAAGTTCTATATTGGACCCATTGCCTCATGATTTAATTTGATTGACCCAGCTCCACGTAGAATTAGTATTTACATCAGCAAAAAAAAATCAGTAACTGCGAACATTAACCCACTCGCATGCAATGATCGATTTTCCTACTGTACCTAGAAGTTCGGGCCGACCAAGAGCCCTGGCTGCTAAGCCCCTACCGAGGCGTCGGTATGAATCCTGGTACACAGGGGGAGGTCTGCGCCCACAGGATACAATCCTGCGGCCTCCACGGGTTTGGACTCTGTGTGGTTCCGAGTGAAGGCGGGTTAGCTCGGGGTGGGGGTAAGAGTCGATAAAGGCTCTCGCCTCCACCGGTGGTACTAGGCCATTTCGCTCAAGGCCAGGGACTCAGTCCCGACGTCGGAAGACGTTAAATTGCCATGGAGCCTCGGGAACGAGGAATCCATGTAAACGGCATAGGCAGCCTAAAGTGTCAGGTGTTTGGATGACACCGACCGCCAGCTGATGCGGTCCAGGGAGCCTTTTTGCAAACTGGTAAAATCAAGCAGAGTAGATCGTAAGCTAACTACCTCCCCCGGCCTAGCCGGAGTTAGCGCCCACCGAGCGTATCGGTACCGAACTGGGGCAAGCCCAATCCCAGTGAGGCGCGCTGAGGACGCGTAAAAGACCTTTCGACAGGAGGGGTAGACCCCCCGTGTCCGAGTAAGGCCAGCGAATGCTGGCCAGGTATCGGCACGTAAAACGCTCCACTGTGTGTGTGTGTGTGTGTACCTAGAAGTACAATGAAGAATTTCAATACTTGGTTGAACATAATTATATGGAAATTAAGGGAACGGCAAAGAAAATTTCAAACTCTATATGTGTTCTTGGTTAAAAACATAAATCATAAGAGGAGCGAAAATAAGACAGAGTAATGCAGTGAGGTTGATTCTAGTTAGAGCCGTTCGGATTTCCACTTAACATTTTTTACATGATTGATGTGCATACTGTTAACTTAGTTAATGTACGTTGCACATAATATGACTTCATTTGTTTAATTTTCAGGTGATCTAATCCAGTATCATCAAAAACATCCGATTACCATTCGAGGAGGAGAGATCCTGTATCAGTCTTGTCAGCGAAATATCGCAGTGCCAATCATTCTTCAGGATCTAATGTGCAATCTGAGATGAGCATTGTTTATTTTATGACCTGCCATAAATTTTACCAGTTTATTTTTTATCTCTTAATGATGTTTCTTTCCTTTTTGAGATGTTTTGTTAATGCGAGAGACGAGTTGCCTTGTACTTAAAAAAAGTAACACTTTATTTATGAGCTTCGATCAGTGTATAGTTTTAAGTTTGCTATAATTTTTATAATGCTGTTTTATAATTGAAAAATGAAATGTGTGAAAAAATTTATTTGTCAATAGTCTAGCCTTTTTCATTAATTATCCTACAACTTTCTCTCTTTTGGAGTAAGAAAAAAATCAAATTAGTAGGTTAGGCTCTTATAAACTTTGACCAACTAAGACCAGATTTTCATTGAGGACTCCAGTAAAATTTGCACTAAAACCAATTTGGTAACCTGCATTGATTTCCGCTTTTTTCCCAGTTTACTTATTTTAGTTACACAGTAACCTAAGAAAAAGTTTTGAAAAACTTTGACGTTCTTTTGAAAGACTCCATTTGAGAGCTAACACAATATTTTAGTATGTAGCAGGCACAAAATCAAAAATTGTCAGGCACTCAACAATTTTGAACCCACGTTTCACAATCTGATTCTAAGTGATTAGAAATGTTTGAGTCAGCCCCAGAGATGCAGTGGTCAAGACAATTTGCTACCAGCACTGTAATTCCAGTCTCAATCCCCTCTAGTAGCAGATTAATGAGGACACTTTTCTGCAGCCTGATTGTTGAAATTTTGAGTTTTTCCAATGACATAGGTTAAATGGCTGAGCATGATTGGTCGGCAATGTCTTATCGCTGCTTTGTCGGTAGGAATGGATGACAAACTAAAGGCACCTCTTGAGTTTCCATCAGAATGTCGTCCTATCCACCCGACAACGTAGCGATAAGACATAGCCGACCAATCACGCTCCTCCATTTAACCTATGTCATTCATGTCCACCAGACAAACACAAAATTTTAACAATCAGGCTGCTGTCTTTGTGGCCGAGGATAGCTGTATGACTCCAATTCCTATGGACCTTACAATTAGTCCGATGATATTATACCCTTTTTAAGTCTCCTTACAGCAAAAATGATCTAATGAATATGACATGTAATTCGTCAAAATGGCTATCATAAGTTTCTAAGTTCTAATTTAAATTATGAGAAATCTGAAACTTAATAATTTAAAAGAAAAAAACTTACATCGAAGAGAATAATGACTTCTATGATGGAAAATGAAGTCAGTGTGTCTATTATTTTAAGAAAATAATGACAAAAAATTAACTCAGTGCGTCTATTTGTACAGTTTCACTAAGATTGCAGTGCCGATGTGATGGCAAACAAATCAATGAACCATAAAACTACATCTTAACTAGAAAAAATGTCTCATCATTCCTTTTCAAAATTTCACGTAAAAAGCAATTCACACAAGTTCGGAAATCAACTCCTGAACGAAATATTATCAAGTATTTATAATATACATCAAATGGAACTAAGGTTTTACGAATTATGTCATTTACATTATTGCAATTCAACCAATGTTAATTGTAAACACGTATTTCATGTTTGAGAGTTGTTTTTCTGACTTTCTGTTGCGTCATTCATTTTCCTCGTGAAATTTGAAAATGAAAAAAAGTTGCGAACTGCCTAATTCATACCTTATCTAGAGGCCAAATTTTTATGAGGAAACCTTCCAGTTCCTAAGTCGAATAAAAAGGGGAAAAGGCGAGGGCTATGGCTACTTAAGCTCACACATGCACAGCTTTGTTTAAATCAAGGAAATAATGCTCCTCCTGCAATCCAAGCAAATAGGAGGAAAATCTAAAACTTTGAAGACTGAATGGAAGGGTGTACAGAAACTGTATGGTTTATCAGTAGACAGAAAAATTTTAAGTCATGATAGGAGACCGTAAGGAGGGAACGCTCAATTAAGAGAAACTCTCAGCACCTACTTGGAAACTTTTTGCACCTATATAATTCACAGCATATGAACAGCGTTTTAGACGAGGCTCTCAGCTTAATATCTTACCTATTACCTCTTTACTTCAATAGCAGAAAATTCAGACCTCAATATTTGAGTGAGGGGCAAGATTTAGACACACAGAGCTAAGTTTCAAGTAATTATAAATATGAATAAATATTGCATAGGTAGCAAAAGCATGTTATTGAGTGACACTGCATGAAATTTAAATGCATGTGATGCCAACGTCGATTAAAATCTTAAAAGATGTAAAAAGACAATGTTCTAAGAAAAAGAAAAAAATAGATCATCCACAAATTTGATTAATATTGAGATAGAGAAATACTGACTTCAAAGAATTTCAATTAATTGACTAAACTTAGAAATTAAGCACAATGTATGAATAGAATGATTAAATAATAGAAGTGAAAACCAGTCAACAACGAATTTCACTGAAACTCATGAGATGATGAAGAGACATCTGGAGGCAGCAATAGATTCAAAGCGATGAGGTTACCCGTATTAAGCACTGATTTCAAATGGTGCTAGAACTAAATAAATCTAAGCCACCAAATAAAATCAGTCCCCTTTTAGGTAAATTGAAGTTCTTCAGATAAGATAGCTGGAATCAGTTCCACCCGTTGCTTGAATTGCTGATTTCAGTCCACTCTTCTGTCCAATCCTGCGCTGAGACTTGCTGATGGAGAGAGATGAAGCTCTTTGTACTTGAAGCAAAAAAGCTGGCTTAATCTAAAACTTACACCGTATCTTATTAAATGAATACCTCAACATACTGTGAGAAGGAGTGTAATGACCAGTTAATTGTAATTCCACAATATTTCCATCTCTTTTAACACACAATGCTCCCGAGTCAACTTATAAGTCAAAAGTTCTGAAGCACTATCAAGCACGGGGGCACTAAAACTTGTTGTAAATGTGCTGTCAAAATTTGGGAAAATATTTGTAACATAAGAATTTAAAGAAAATTTCAACTGAAATTGTCATTTGAAAGTCTGCAATCTATCGGTTTTTACTAAAAATTAAAGTCATTATTACCTGCAGATAGAAGGCTATGACTGAGGTTAATTAATGATTGCTCAACTTGAGATGGGTCAATTTTGGACTTTCAGAAAGGTAAAAACTTCTGTTAAAATTTTTTGAGGATTCTCATTTTCATACAAATGAGAATTACAATTATGTTGAAAAATCGTATTCTCTCGACAATTTGCTGTGTTGTACCCCTTTTTCAAGAGTCAAAGAACTTGCAAACTAAGAGTATTACAGAGAATTGGCAGTTGTACAAAAACAGATATCTATAGTGAAGTACAAAAAGTTATATGTCTGGGTCTTTGGTCGATTAAAACAATATTTGACACCTGATAAAAGTAGAAGTCAAACAAATCATTAATAGTGAAAATGGTCTCATTATGGGTTCATAAAACAGATACCCATGGTGAAGCACGGAAAATAAAATGGATGGGTCTCCGTTCTATTTAAACAAAATTTGATGTCAAGTTAAAGTATAAGACTAACAAATAAAAAATGGTCTCATTCTGAGTTTAAATTAAACATCAAATTAAAGTTTTAATGCATCTTACTTAAAAGTACAAAAAAATCAGCATCAAAGGAGCTGTAGGTACTAAAGCTCTTCACTCAAAAAATTGAAACAGGAGGGGGACTGGTGTTTAGTCTGAATGGACCCTTTCAAATTAACTTTACACACATAAAATTCGGCGATGAGGCTAGATTTATCTCACCGGAAACTATAGTTTCGATTTCTCTGCAGAAATGGCTGATGGGAGTAGATCTACCTGAACTGGTGTTGGTGGTACATATTATGGGGCATTAATCGTGTTAGTGTGGGCAATCAGGCTCCACAGGAAGTGAAAATTAAGCTTTTTAACTTCGGAAAACATGGGAAAAATTTTAAGGTACAGTTAGTTTGACCGGACCTTAAAACATCAAACCTGAAACTACACCCTCAGAGAGATATACAAGAAAGCAGCAATGTCATTATTGACGGATAAACCAGCTGCAAAGAAATTAAGAGATACAAAACCTTCTCCAAGTTCAAATTCACAACGCGCACCTCAAAAATGACCACGTGCGTTTACTGTTATAAAGCACATTATTATCTCGTTCACGTCAATTCGAAAAACCCGCGCTAGCCGATATCCGGAAATTAGCCAATCGCCGGAGCTCCCGCCTTCGACTCGTGACTTCATCGTTGAAGTTGGCTCGGAAACTTGAATTCGAAAATGAAAGTTGGCTCGGAAACTTGAACTCGCGAATGAAAATTTCCAGAAGTTTGTAGGAATAATTATGAAGTATCAAACAGCACAACAAAAACACAAACTCTAATCGCGAAACGACGTAGAATGCGAACTACAAATAACTTGTGTTAAGCGCGTGGTGAAACAGTTCTACGTCAATCCCGAAGCCGATGAAATCTTGTCACTAAAACTAGTCGGTGGTGTGTACCGGTGACACTGGAGGTCGAACTAGCTGCGCCGCGAGGAAACTGCCGAAGCTCCTTCCGAAGGAAAGGGTTTTAACCGGTGCGAGAAATCGTTCGAAATCACGGACCATAAATTGTGGTTCAAGGAAACGAAACACCTCTCTGGAGGCATGCTTGTGTATACGCTATCCTCTTTCACAGTTACAAAACGCTTTGTCCCCGGTCCTTCGGCTAAGGTTTCCGCGAGGTGCCGGTGAGAGATGAAAACATCTTTCATGCACCGGTACGTCCTTACAATAACCGCCAGACGGCATCATTATTCTCAGCATCTTGGCTCCGGGTATTCGTGTGCAAAGCCCGGGACTTCAAGTGCATAACGTCTCCTCTTCTGTTCTCTCGGAACTAACGGTAAAAGTAGCTACGGCCGTTTCGCTTCTTGGCTCGATGGTGAAGTAAGATGGTTTGCCTAATTCAACTATTTGACCCTATAACTAGACAACTATTTTTTTTTTTCAAAATGCTTTAAAAGTCAATTTAAAAGGAAAACATGGTGCGCGTGTGAGGGTACGATACAGCTTCAAGTCGAAGCGGAAAACGTTGAAAAATACGACTGTCCCAGAGCAGCGTGTCTGACGCTGACGCACCGCATTCTACCGCGCATAAAACGCCTTCTATTACAGAGGATACAACAAGCGCGCCAGCGAAACCGCGTAATAGGTTCTTATGGGCATAAGAGAGGCCGAAGATTAAACCGTTGACTTCATACGTGTAATTTGAAGCTGTTTCATTGACAGTACACTCACTCTCAGAGGAGTGGAAACATAATTAATAAGAAAAAATT